TCCCCCCCCCCCCCCCCTTTCTCCGCGCCCTTGGGGGGGGGGGCAAGCAACGCACCCCATGGGGCAGCAGCACCGTGCGTGTCACCCCCTTCCCCACACCCCCCAAAACAAGGCAGCTCTGGAGTTTTCCCCAACGCCAGGTACTTCCTAGAAGCAGGTGCACGGCAGCAGGTGGGCTGGGCTCCAACAGCCCCTTCCCATTGCCCGGGCTCACCTGATTTTTGGTGTTCGAAGTGGTGCTTGACGTGATACGCCTTCAGGCCGTACAGGTAGGTGCCTTTCCTGGGCGAGCCGTAGTGCAGGTAGTAGTGGGTCATGTCGTAGACGACGTAGCCGCAGAGCCCCCCGACGAACACCGAGAGCCCCAGCACCTCCGGCAGCACCAGCTGCGACAGGACGTAGAAGAAACCGATGACCAGCGAGGCCGGCACGGGCGGGAAGACCAGGCGGGAGCTGTCGAAGGGAGACTTGGAAGCAGAGAAGAGGGATGGTGAGACTCCCAACGTCCACCAGAACATCCCTGCCGCCGGGGAAGAGGAAGCCAACAGCAAAGCAACCCACCCCAAAAGGCGGACCCGGCCATCGGGGCGGCCCCCTCACCCACGTTTGGTCCCCGAGCTCCGCGGGGACGTTTCCTCCAGCAAAGCTAGAGGGAGCCCATGGCTTTTTCCACCCAAAGCTGGAGCTTGCAGCTCCTGCCAGCCCGTCTTGCAGCCCTGGCCGGTGTTGGGTAAGGGCCCTGCTCGGGGCTGGGCTGCCAGGAGTCACGTTGAACACGCACCAACAGGCTCCAGCTGAGCCAAGGCCACGGTTCCCACGGCCCCGGCGGGTGGAGGCGGCGGCAGCGACTCACCTTGTGGTGCTGCCCGTGCAGCAAGAAGTGCAGGGTGATGAGATAGTAGTTGCTAGCGGGAGGCTTCATGTGGAAGACAAAGCGGTGGATGAGGTACTCGAGCAGGGACCAGAGGAACATCCCCAGCAGGAAGATGAAGGGGAAGCAGTAGTGGTGGATGGGGATGGAGTACTCTAGGCAAGGAGACGGGCAGGGGTCAGCGGGGCAGGCAATGGGCTCTTTACCCATCACCATCCTCCCAGGTGGAGCTCAGCTCTCCCTCCCTCCCTTCCACCTCCTGTCCTGAGCTTCCCCAGGGAGTTTCCTTCCCCAAACGCAGCTCCAAACCACATTTTTTCCTTTGATTCCCACGAATTTGCAATCCTTAGGGAATCCGTCAGCTTCCCACTGCTGCAAGGAGCTGGCAAAGGGGATCCCCTGCACCCCAAATGCCAGTGGGGGCTTGGATGTGTGTCCTCCAGGGATGTGTGTCCTCCCTGTCCTTAGGAAGCTGCTTCAGCCACCAGAGAGTGGCAGGAGGGACCTTATCTGAGCAGGCAGCGCTCGTGACAGTCAAAGAGTGCTGCTGGAATTGGTTTGTTGGTGTTTTTTTTAATATTTTGGGAAAAAAAAGAACTGGATTGTTGGGTACTTTCCCCCCCTGCAGAGCATTTTTCAGCCACCTCCTCCTTTCAGGGCTGCCTGCCAGCCCTGCCTCCTCCCTAGCAGCATTCAGAGCCCACCCCCTCCATCCCATTCCCTCCCAAAAAAACCTGTTAATTTTTTGGGGAAAAAAAATATAATAATAATAAAAAAAATCAATCAACAGTCCCTTGGCATCAAGGTGCCAGAGGCCACGAGGAGCAGTGAGGGGGTGCTGGGGTAGTGGGTGCTCCTCCCTGCAGCCTGGGTACAGCTGGCACCGGGTGGCACCTTGCAACAAAAATATAAAGAAAGAAATAAACTAGGGAGGCCAGCAAAATACATAAATAAATAAATAAAGCAGCACAACAAAGAAGACAGCCTGCCCTGGCCACCCTTGTTATTCCCGGAGGATGCAGACAGTGGGAGATTGAAGGGCAGGCACTCTGGGCAAACAAGACCTGCACTGTGTGAGGCTGGTGGAGTCAGAGCAGGGTTTGTTCAGCCTGCAGGCATGGCCCGGGGTGGGTGGCAGCTGGGGGTGGTACCCCTCCATCAGGGGTGGAAGGAAGGGATCAAGGACACAGAGGATGGAGGGAGTGGAACATCTCCCTGATAAGGAAAGGTTGAGAGACATGGGTGTCTTTGAGCTTGGAGGAGACTGAGGGGCAGCCTCATCTGTGTTTGCAAATATGTTAAGGGTGGGTGTCAGGAGGATGGAGCCAGGCTTTTCTCAGTGATGTTTAGTGATAAAACATGGGGAAATAGGTACCAACTGGAGCATAGGAGGTTCCAAGTGAATATCAGGAAGAACTTCTTTCCTGTGAGAGTGACAGAGCCCTGGGCCAGGCTGCCCAGAGAGGCTGTGGAGTCTCCTTCTCTGGAGACATTCCAACCCCCCTGGATCCTGTGTGATGTGCTCTGGGTGCCCCTGCTCTGGCAGGGTGGTCTTTCCAGGTCCCTCCCAACCCTTAAGATTTTATGAGGGTTCCAGCAGTGCCCTCACAGGGATGGAATGGTGTGGGTGAGGGGAGGATGGGTGAGCTCAGGCTTGGAAGCAGCGCAGGCAGCTTGGACCAGGGGACATGCTGGGGGACACCCGCTGCTCCTGCATGAGGCTGGTGGTGGAAGGATGATGGGGAAGGGGTGCAGGGGGGTCTGCCCTTGCCCATGGTGCTCCTGGCTTTGGAGCTGGAGTGGGGGCAGCGAGCCCAAAGGCTGGGCTGCTGGTGGTACCTGTGCTGAAGGAGGAGAAGAGCCGGGTGTTGCCCTGGGCGAGGGAGGTGTAGCTGAGCCAGCTGAGATAGAGCACCACTGGGGTCCACACCAGGAACACTACGTACCTGTGGGGCAAAGGGAGAGGTCAGGGGGAGGCCTGGCCAGCTATGTCCCCCTCCCCACGGGCATGGTGCAGACCCCCAGGGCTCACCAAGCTGTCTTGGACAGGGACTCGAGGAGGTTGGAGTGGAAGAGGCGGATGGGCCGATCCACGGGCTGGTGCACCCACTCGTCGTACTTCTCCCCCAGGTAGCCCACCTGCCACAGCAAGGGCTTCTTCCAGTCCACCAGGTCCTGAGGGAACAGATGCCCACATTTCAGACCACAAACCCCTTCCATTTCCCCACAGGCAGCTGCTTTTTTGCTCCAAGCAGCTCCTCGGAAAGGCAAAGTGAGACAGACACGGACCAGCCACATCTACCTGCCAGTGTGGGGCTGGGCTCATCCCTGTGCCACCAGGTACCTGCTGGTGGCTCAACTGGAAGGTGGTTGGACACAGACCTGGCTCAGCACCAGGCACAGATAACCAAGGCTGTTTCTCCCCCCCCCCAGGACCTGCCAAGATTAGATAGCAAGGAGTGTGATACTGCCTGCTCAGCAGCCGTGCCGTGGCACCAAGAGGACACACAGCCTGTCCCCCTGACATTGCCCCAGTCAAGGGCTTTTCTCTTTGCAGAGGGAATAATAAAACCATAGACTGGTTTGGGTTGGAAGGGGCCTTCAAGATCATCCAGTTCCAACCCCCTGCATGGGCAGGGACACCTCCCACCAGCCCAGGTTGCTCCAAGCCCCATCCAACCTGCCCTTCAACACTGCCAGGGATGGGGCA